GATAAAATGCTCACTAGGAGTGACGTAAGTTTCCATCTGTCAATCAATGGATTTGATAGCTCTTATGTATTTTGGAGTCATCACGGTGAAGGCGTCCCGGTGATGCAATTAGAGGAAGAGTTTACTGATGTCGACAATCTGACAATTGACACAACTGATATGTTGGAAGATATTCTTACCGTGCCGTCTTCGAGTGATGTTAACACTACTGATATGTTTCAAGATGTAGCCCGATTGATGAGACTTGTTGAAGAAAACGAGTCACCGTTATACGAGGGTTGCACCGAGTTCACAAGGCTTTCTTTTATGCCGAGGCTTCTTCACATCCAAACACTCAGTGGGATGGCTGTTACACATTTCGAGATGTTATTAGACTTTCTCAGGAAAGTCATTCCAGGCGGCGAGAAGAGCATCCCCGCAACTTATTATGAAGCTCACAAGATTGTTGATACCCTGGGTCTTGATTACAAAAAGATAGATGCCTGTCCTAATGACTGCATCTTGTACAATAAGGGTAATGAAGGTCTAGAGGAATGTCCGACGTGTCATGTATCACGCTGGAAAAAACATACGGGCACATCTGAAGGCATATCATCCAATAAACAGAGCAGAATCCCTGTGAAGGTTCTCCGATATTTTCCAATTATTCCTAGGCTGCAGAGGTTTTATATGTCTGCCGAGCTGGCTGAGAATATGCGATGGCATTCGACCGATCGTAAAGAGGACGGGAAATTGAGACATCCTGCTGATGGTGAGGCATGGAAGCACATCGATCGTATATACCCTGACTTTGGTAAGGAGTCTCGGAATATTAGGCTGGGGCTTGCTAGCGACGGATTTAATCCGTTTGGAGTAATGAGCTCTGCTTGGTCTACCTGGCCAGTGTTGCTGACACCGTACAACATGCCCCCGTCGATGTGCATGAAGCAACCGTACATGATACTGTCACTTTTGATCCCTGGAAGATATTCTCCTGGAAATGACATCGATGTTTTCCTCCAACCATTAATTGACGACCTGAAGCTTCTCTGGGAAAAAGGTGGGTAAGGAGTCTCGGAATATTAGGTTGGAGCTTGCTAGCGACGGATTTAATCCGTTTGGAGTAATGAGCTCTGCTTGGTCTACCTGGCCAGTGTTGCTGACACCGTACAACCTGCCGCCGTCGATGTGCATGAAGCAGCCATACATGATACTGTCACTCTTGATCCCTGGAAGATATTCTCCTGGAAATGACATTGATGTTTTCCTCCAACCATTAATTGACGACTTGAAGCTTCTCTGGGATGAAGGCGTCAGCACTTACGATGCTTATGGTAAGGAGGCTTTCCGTATGCGTGCAATGGTCATGTGGACAATTAATGACTTTCCAGCATATGCTAACTTGTCTGGATGGTCGACGAAGGGTCAGATTGCTTGTCCGGTGTGCATGTTAGATTATGAGGGAAAGTTCCTAAAATACAGCCGTAAGTTCTGTTATTGACAACACAGAAGATGGTTACCTACAGGGCACAAGTTCAGAAAGTTAGTAGGAAAGTTCAATGACAATCCAGAAAACAGACCGGCACCACCAAGGCTGACCGGGGAAGAAATATTTAAGCTTCTACATCCTCTACCTAAAAAAATATTTGGAAAGAAAAGATTCAACAAAGAAAATCCATTTGGGGTTAGGAGAAAAATATTGAAGCAAAATTGGAAGGGAAGGGGAAAGGGTAAGCAATTTCTCAAAGGCAATTCGAAAGGAAATAAACCTCGCACTGTCCAATCGCATGGGCGTGTCTCTATGGGTACTGAACTTCTGCATGGATGGTCAAAATTCAGCATATTTTATCAATTGTCATATTGGAGAAGTTTAAAAATACGTCACAACTTGGATGTCATGCACATCGAGAAGAACATATGCGAGAATCTCTTGAACACTTTGTTGCAGGACGGAAAAAAATCAAAAGATGACTTAAGGGCACGTCGAGACCTAGCAGAATTGAACATCCGTCCTGAACTGCAAGCTATAAATAAGGGTGACGAAAAGTTTGAACTCCCAGCCTCCCGTGTCACACTGTCGAAGGATGAGATCCATAATATGTGTTTATTTCTAAAGTCCGTGAAGACACCGGATTGTTATGCTTCAAACATTTCTGCAAATGTGCATATTGAGGACAGGAAAATTTTGGGACTCCAGACACATGACCATCATATTCTATTGCATCAACTTCTCCCGGTTGCGTTGCGACATGCTGAGAAGGAACTCGCGATGGTGGTAATAGAATTCTGCGGTTTCTTCAAGCAACTGTGCTCTAAGGTGATTGATGTCAGGGAGTTTGAAGAATTAGAGGGACGTGTAGCCAATACACTGTGTAAAATGGAAATTCTATTTCCACCCTCGTTCTTTACGGTCATGGTGCATCTCACAATACATTTAGCATATGAAGCCCGCATCGCAGGACCAGTTCAATATCGCTGGATGTACCCTGTGGAGAGGTATTTATTATTATAATGCTCAATTAATATTTGTTAAATTACGTATATCAGTTTTATTTTGTCACAAATCATGAAACTATATGCTTGTAGGTATTTGGGTTTCATGAAACATTTGATGCATAATCGTGCACGTCCTGAAGGATCGATAGCAGAGAACTATATAAGTAATGAGAGTTTGAATTTCATCTCTCGTTACTTGCGGGGTGTGGAGACAAGGCTCAACCGTCCCTAACGAATAATTGACGGAACATTCTATAATGATCGTGGGGAGGACACTAGATTCCCCAGAATGGAGCTAGATCAAGCCCACACATATATCTTGAGCAATAATACTACATTTAACATATACGCGACGTAAGTATTTAACTGTTTGAATCAGACCATATCACATCACAATAACTATCTCTATTTAACTGTTACAAATGATTTTATTCTAGGCTTCACATCCGATATGTGCAGACTATTCTTAAATGCAGAACAAAAAATAAAAGAGTTATGGACACACACTATCGTGGGGAGGACACTAGATTCCCCAGAATGGAGCTAGATCAAGCCCACACATATATCTTGAGCAATGATACTACATTTAACATATACGCGACGTAAGTATTTAACTGTTTGAATCAGATCATATCACATCACAATAACTATCTCTATTTAACTGTTGTAAATGATTTTATTCTAGGCTTCACATCCGATATGTCCAGACTATTCTTAAATGCAGAACAAAAAACAAAAGAGTTATGGACACACACTCTAGACAATTCCCTGCATGGCTGAAGGGTGAAGTAAGATTTATTTACATTTCTGATTCGTATATCAAATATGTGCCTGCCAACAGATATTTAAACTATTTGTTTCTTTTCTTAAAGGTTGACCGATGTATTACGAATGGGGTTAACCTGTCTGAAAAAATATGTTTATATGCCAGAGGTCCTTCTAACGTGGTTAAGCATTATGGAGGGTACTGTATCAACGGCTTTAGGTTTAACACCATCAGTTTCGAAGAGAGACGACAAACGCAAAATAGCGGTGTGTTCTGCTCCTTCTCGCAACTATCATACGCTAGTTCAAAAGATCTAAATCCGATACAAGGTGAAATCTATTACTACGGTCAGGTAGAAGACATTGTGGAGATTTTCTATGGGATTAATAATAAAGTCAGACATGTGATGTTTAAGGTTCGTTGGAGTGAGCTGAAAAAGGCGAAGGATGACTACGGTTACACACTCGTTAATCTTAACAAGGAAATATATCAGACTGAAAAGTACATGTTAGCTGCTCACGCAAAACAGTGCTTTTATGTCAAAGATATAATGAAAAATGACGAATGGGTTGTCCTTAAGAATCCGCCTAGATCCTACATTCATGAAGCCGTGTCTGACGAAGATCACGAAGATATTATCTTGGCCGACGAAACAGTTGCTGAGTTTTCCTTGACACAAAATAATCTGGTGGATGAAATTACACTGGCGCGCCCTGATGTACCTGCGATTATATGTGAGCCAAGGTGTAAAGTCAAAAAACGAGTCCACGGTAGAGTCGATAAAACTATAAGGACGGTCCTTTTGTCAGCACGCACACGGTCGCAGGCTAACCGCACACGGTCACAGAGTAGAGCCTCAACATCATCATAATAATATAATGCTTGGTTATGATTTAAAAAGAACATTCATGTATCTGTTTGACTGGTTAACATGTATCAGTTTGTGTTATGTATTATAGTATTGCCTTTATATTATCTGTTTGACTGGTTATCATGTATCAGTTTTTGTCATGTATTATAGTATTGCCTTTATATTATCTGTTTGACTGGTTATCATGTATCAGTTTGTGTCATGTATTATAGTATTGCCTTTATATTATCTGTTTGACTGGTTATCATGTATCAGTTTGTGTTATGTATTATAGTATTGCCTTTATATTATCTGTTTGACTGGTTATCATGTATCAGTTTGTGTCATGTATTATAGTATTGCCTTTATATTATCTGTTTGACTGGTTATCATGTATCAATTTTTGTCATGTATTATAGTTTTGTTGGGTACTCATTATGTTTTCAAAGTATAGATGACAAAAGGATTACGTAAGAGAGCGCTTGAGAGACTTATTGGTAGACATTCTGGAGGCGACGCACATGGCTCTACGTCAGGTATTTTTATTTATTTATTATATCTGTACATTTCTATAAACTATTAATACGAGCCTAACATTATTTTTTCACATTTCCTACGCAGGCCGCATCGCTGCTACACATGACGGGCCGCCACAGGACACAGGACGAGGAGATGCTCCACCTGATGCGGAGACACTCGTTGATCCTGCCCAGCATGCAGAGATGCCGCCGTCGCCTCCTCAGGCTGCAGATGTATTGGAGGAGCGCCGATATGAGCCATATAGCGCAGCTGTAGAAGCTGCGCCACTACCACCGGATTCTATTCCGGATCAGCGAGCCCACGACCCGGCCAAGGTGAAGGAGGATTGGGATGCTTATCATGATTTGCGACTTATCGCACAGCAGAGGTATGAAGCGACCTACTAGGCGCGGCCGCAGTGGTACCAAGCCACAGAACCTCATCCCAGATATTCATCGGAGGGCCGTGATCCGATGGGAGAACGGCATGCCTGTCGGGCCATTTGCTAACTCTTTCAACAATTTCCTCGCCACTTTAGCCAGGAGACATGATTTCTTCAACATATTTTTGACGTGGAAGTCGCAGCGGATTGATGCGCTGGTGGCTTGTTAGAGATATATATGTGTGAGTCATTTATTTTAATTCTCATAATTATTAGTTATTTTATTATTTTGTTTAACACACTGATTTGTATCTCTTTTTTCATTGTATGCTGAAGCGATTTTTCTTTCTTGACGATTACGCTTGTGCCTGGACTTACTGCTTCACGCAAATCAATCTATCGTTCAAGAGGTGGCGGTTTGAGCTGAAGAAAAAATATTTTATTCAAAGAACAAAAGATTGTGAGCGTTACTGGCATCTTGACGAGCGTGTAGATGGAGTAGATTTTTTTGCACTTTACGATTATTGGGACACGGCCGAAATTCAGGTATTATTGAAGTATATATTTTCGTTTATTGTTTGAAATTCTATATTATATCTATTTAACATTGTTTTGCAGGATCAAGCTGAAACAGCAAGGAGGAACCGCAATGCGCCCCGCAGTTACGAGCATCACGGGGGCTCCAGGTCCTTCAGCCAGCATTATCATCAATTGGCGCTTGAGGTATATAATATATTAGCTCTTAGGTTATCAAATTGAGTATAATTTATGTGTTATGAGTTAATGATATATGTGAATAAAATAGGGAAGGGGAGAACTCGGGCATTTTGCAGATCGTATTCTGACTGGTTGGAGTCCAAATTACGCCGATGAAGTGAAGAAAGCGCAGAACCGGGATCTGGCTGTAAGTATCAGTTAATTTGTATATTTAATTTTTATAACAATGCATTTTAAATGTGTTAGAATTGACCTGGTTGTTTTGGTATATCGCAGGAGAAATTACATGCTAAGGTGCAGGAGCAATTATCACAGACTCAGGTCGATTCTAACACTCCGACCCGATTAAGTAGAGAGGAGGAGGATAGCATCATCGAGACGGTCATTGGACCGAGTAGGAAGAACAGATACAGGTGGAGAGGATCCGAGCATCGACCATACGAGTCCAGTAGCACCTACGAGTCTGCAGCTCCACCAGGATGCAGTTCTTCTCAAGACCCGACTATGGAGCAGCGGATGAAAGCGATGGAAGATTGGCAGTCGCGTCGGGAGTCGGAGCTACTCTAGGTGGCGGAGGAAGAACGGAGGCGCCGGGAGCAGAGGGAGGTGGAATTCGCCCAGTTCATATCGACTCTGCCTTCTGATTCTCATGAGGCATATAGGAGACGGTTTTTGGCGGATCAGGTAATATATATATATTTCTTTTTTAATTAAATGAATTAAATATAAAATTCTTACTTAGTTATGAGTATGCCATGTGACTAAATGATATCACACAAACTGTTACACACAAACTATATCTCTCTCCGAAACACAACTAAAATTATATACTTAATGTTTTTATGTGATGGTGGTGTTGATGGTGCGTGCTTGGTTGGTTCGTGGGTGGGGTTGGGGGATTGTTATTGTGGTGGTGGTGGTGTTATTATTGTTGTGTTGTGGTGCCGCCATGTGTTGTATTGTCGTGGTCGTTATGTGCGTGCTTGATGTTGGGTTTGGTCGTGGTGGGGGAGGGGGGGTGTGGGGATTGGGTTGAGTTGGGTACTCGTGCGTGCGTGTGTGCGTGTTGGTGGAGATAGGTACGGGTGCGTGCGTGTGTGCGGGTGAGGTTAGAGTGTGTGTGTGCGTTGTTAAAAACTTGTGCGTGCTTGCGTATAATACATAAAAATATGCTATGATACTCTCTCTCTGAATCATATAACATGTAAGAATATGCCATGATACTCTATTATTGCTATACTTGCATGTCATGCCTTGTTGTTTTATAATTTGTTACTTTACTGTAAAATTCAGTTTTTGATGATGTACGTATTGCTCTATAACGCTTTATTTATATTTTTAGGCTGGGACTTCTCGACAATGTGGAGTTGGTGATGAGGATGATGATGATCGGGACTGAGTTTATTTGTTTTAACATTGAAAACAATGGGTGTGCTGTATAAATAACATTTAAAATGTTGGGATATTTATTATGTTTTTAGTGAAATAATTGTTATATATGCGTGAAATATGTGTTATATGTGCTTGTGTTGTGTAAATTTATTGTACATGTTAATGTTGTGAAATATATTGTACAGGAATTTCTAATTTTCAAAAAAAAATTTAAAAAAATTTCAGATGACTTTTAGCGACGGATATTCCGTCGCTAAAAGAACTTTTAGCGATGGAAAACTGACACGCCAGACATGCACTAATACAGCTTTCGGCGACGGATTTTCCGTCACTATAAATATTGGCGACGGAAAAATGTATAGCGACGGAATATTTCGTCGCCAAAAAGTATAGAATTTGGCGACGGATTTTCCGTCGCCAAAAAGTATAGCGACGGCTAATTTATAGCGACGGAAAATACCGTCGTCAAAAAAATATACATAAACGACGGATTTTCCGTCGCTATATAACCGTCGCTGATATTTAGCGACGGATTTGTCGTCGCTAAAGGTAGATTTACCTACCCTGATAATAGTGACGGCTTTTTAGCGACGGAATATCTTATTTTCCGTCGCTAAAACTTTTAGCGACGGATTTTGGTCTTTTGGCGACGGATTTGTCCGTCGCCAAAAGTCCCCTTTGCAGTAATGTAAGTTATTATGGAATATCTGGCACTATAACATCCATATTAAGAGCTTAGCTGAGATGGCAATTATGAAGGTTCGAAAGAGGATGAGTATATCTTTATCTTGTATATTAAATTTTGATAGACTTCAGATCTAGCCGAAAATACTCTTGAAGTTACTGATAGGATACAATTAGTACATGTGCAGAGATTGCTAGATGAAGAAAGATGCACTGATTAGATAAATAAAGAAAGTTGATCAGAGATAAGGGAAGCTTGAATGAGAAAAGAAGTATGCTAGAGAAGCGGGGGTCAGAGGCGTGTTATTTTCCTTTCTTGCTTGATTATTTGGGGAAATTGCGCCGTTGACCCTGCAGTTTGCCGCCGAATCCCCATCAAAAAACCCTAGTTCTTCCTCCCCGAATCGGATCTTTCCGCCTCTCCTCCTCCTCCTTTTCGTCGGACACCTGACTTGTAAGTACTCTACCTCTCAAGCTCATTTTTACAAGTAACAATTGATTTAATTTCTGTTCTATCAACGGTGAAAGTGTTGTTATTGTTGTATTTCTAATTTTCTGCATCCTTGAACTAGTTGATACAAACTTATCATGTCCTTTATATGTTTGTTCAATGAAAGCATCATTCACTGCATTAATATAGGTTCTATTTTCATCTTTTATTTCAAATATTTTGAACAGAGAGTTCCTAAATGATGCTTTTATGTGTTTCTTCCTCCCTCCCCCAGTTATTGTCATTCTTGTTAATTAGCTGGTGCTTGTAAACTTGTCATTTCTTAATGTTACATCTCACGCGAATGTTATCATTCCGTGTACTGATCTTGCAGGTTCCTATATATTTGATAGCTTGATAATAGATTATTCTCTAATTATGCCATATATACATATTGATTTTGTTAAATACTTGTTCCTCTGAGACTTTGATAAATTCAATAGTGAGAATAAGCAATGGAAATATTTCTCTAAGTTCACATCTCTACATTATTTGCATTTGTAGTTGCGATTACTTTACCTATTTTCTTCTTTTGTAATTTTCATGATCTAACCTTTTCCTAATGGAAAATATCCTTGATGGCCTGTTTTTATTGCTTTATGTTCATTCATGTTGCTAGTAGTATATTTTTCTAATTGGCTTACAGAAGCATAATAGTTTCGAATGTTAGGAATAAGTAACTGATTTGTGCTGTATTTAGGTTTCGCATGACTTGCTGAACGACGATAGATTAATCATCATCCGGCTTGCACAAATAACAACAATATGTTGCACATTCTATTTTGGATTTTTGGCTCTGTAAAACTTGTGGACGGCTTGCACAAATAACAACAATATGTTGCACATTCTATTTTGGATTTTTGGCTCTGTAAAACTTGTGGACTTTGTGTCACTATCTTGTGTTAGTTTACCACATTCTATTTTGGATTTTTGGCTCTGTAAAACTTGTGGACTTTGTGTCACTATCTTGTGTTAGTTTACCTATATGAGAAAACAGTAGTTCCTTAGTTTCTCCCTATAGGACATTGACTCATTCTTTAGTAACTAGAATATTATCTATATTTTAGAATAAACAAGCTCATGAGCCAAAGAAAAATGCAATCTAGTGCTGCTAACCATGATTCTCAAGCTTATTAGTTTACACTTGCGATTACAAATCTGATCAAATTATATATGATTTATGATTTGCAAATCGAAAGTTCTAAATATGAAGAAATGCACAATTCACAAAAGTTGCACAAAATTTATTTTTGTCATGTGTATGTTTTTAGTTTAATGAATATGATATATATACACCCAAAACTTTTTATAGAATGCGTAGCCTTTCTCAAATAATTTTAAAAATTTTTGATGCTGCTTTATTCTTGTTATGCAGGAACTTGGATTTGATTATCTTGAAAGCAGAGAGCAACTTTTCATGAGGTTACAAGCAAACTAGAATATTTAAACAGTTGTTCCCTTCTTTTTTTTTTCTTTCACCTTTTCCTCTCTTTCCATTGTGTTTCTTTTTTCCTTCATGAATTACAAGCGAATTGGAATATTTAAACAAGCCTTTGAGTGTTGACTTGGAAATGGAAATGAATGTAACTATTTTGCAATGGGAGCAAATTCTTTGTTTATCATAATATACAACTTGTTTGGAGTATAATTTGATGTTTGGTTTCTTTTTTGATGTGAATGAGAGCAAATTTTTGTGTGGATGTTCAGGTTCAGTGTAGGCTTATAGTTGACAGAAAAGATATTACTTTTGGCGATGCAAATTAGTCGACAAAAGTATACTTTTTACCGACACATAATTATGCGTTGCCAAAAATTATACTTTTGCCAACGCTAAATTACATCGCTAAATTTTTTAAATTTTAGCGACGCACTAATTTGCGTCACTAAAAGAAACCTTTTGCCGACGCTAACTTGTGTCGCCAAAAGTATAATTTTTAGCGACGAACAGTTTTACGTCGCTAAAAGCTATACTTTTGCCGACACATTAGCTTTTGCCGACGCTGCATGCGTCCCCAAAAATATAAGTTTTGCCGACGTACTTTTGCATATGAAAAAATTCTGCATACTCTTGCCGACACAAAATATTATGCGTCACTAAAAGATGTACTTTTCCCGACACATTAAGCGTCGTCAAAAGTATTAACTTTTACCGACACAGTATGTTTGCGTCGCCAAATATTTTCCTTGACGCACTTTTGGTGACGCGTTAGCGACGCTACATTTTACGTCGGGAAAGATTTTTCTCGACGTTTTTTAAACTTTTACTGACGTTTTGTTTCGTTGGTAATGCTGTATTTTGTTGTAGTGTATATGGCGTTTGAGATGGTTGGTGCCGCTCTTATGATGAACTTGGAAAACCTGGCCGCACAACGCACATTTTGCATTATGGGAGATGATCATACTGTGTTCATCCTTGGTGACGTCTATCTTCTCAAAAAAATTCCACACATTGGATCTCGGCCTTTTAGGAGCTCTTGGTGCAGTAGATTCGTCGCCACCAGATTCAGGATTAACACCGGTAGTAGGAGGAGTTGTTGTAGGAGGACTCATCTCTGAATCGGTAGGAAATAGGTTTTCCTCTTCATAATCAGATCCAGAAGCCATTTGATGGAAGTATTAGAATATATAAGAGATTATAAGATAGTATAAGAGAGTATAAGATTGTATAAGAGAGTATTAGAGAAAAGTAGATGAGTTTTGTTGTGAGGAAATGAAGTGAAACCCCCTCTATTTATAGAGGCAGCCCCCTAGGTAAATGACCAAAAAACACTCATATTCTAGCCGATTTTTGACCGATTTAAGGGGCAAATCGGTCAAATGGTCAAATATGACCGTTTGGCTGGTCCGGACTAAACAGTCAGTTTTTTGACCGTTTTGGCCGGGTCGGGCCGGGCAACCCGGCTCGGCCCGGCATAAACGGTCTAAAATGACCGGCCCGGCTAAATTCCACCAACAGTACAAATTGTGACCGTTGGCGTGGGCGGCGCCGGGCCAGCCCGGC